TTAAAACCATTAAGAAGTTCAAATACATAAGTGAAAACTTCACAAATAATCACACTATTTGTCATGCAGTCATTTATAAATTTATGTCATTCATTCAACAGTGTTTCACATGTGTACAAACCTAGTTTCAGTGGCTATGGCTTTATTAGCGATAGCATGGGCCAGTAACAGTGGGCCTGTAGAGTTAAAGAGTTGATTTTAAGGACACATTCCACATTATACGTTCCAGGGGCTTTCTACTTTGGACTAGCTCTCAGATTTAATCTCAAAGACTGAAGGCTCATTAGTGGCTGGAGTGCATTAGGCACATTCCTGCAGTGCATCTTTCAGAATATGTTGTCCAAAAGGAATCCAGTCCAGGTCACTCCCCAGGATCACTCCCCAGTGCAAACCAAAGCAGAGGCCAACAGCAGATTCACTTCAAAAACTGCATTGCTGATCCAAATGAAAACACCAGCATAGCACACTCATTGCTGGATGCTACCTATTAGGAAAATATAAGTGTTTAAAACAAAGAGAAATCGAACTTCTGCAGGTCTGGAATCTAATTTTTTGAATAATTATTCTGATATAAAATTAGCCTATGAGATGGAACAACAGTATTTCAAATTTGATGCAAGACCTTTACAGTCAACTCTATGAAATACAGGCCTACCACACCCACATGGACATGAATCACTGCACTGCAACGGCACACATATGAAACTGAAAGCAGAAGTATATTTTTATGACAAACTAGAGTTAGACACTTATGAAAGTTTTAGGTACTTTAGTCAGTAACATTCAAGAAATGCCTCAGTACTGACAGATAGCAACGAAACAAATTAATACAGATTCAGACAACTCGTCAGACTGCAAGTGGGAACACAACTACAGAGGAAGCATTTGGTAAGTTTGAGCAATCTGAGTGAACTGGTTAACCGTTAAAAATCCATTACTCATAACACTGAGGCACTGCTGGTAAAGTGCAGTAATTATGGTGACAGCAATCGTTGCTGCCTCAAGAATGTCCAAACATTCCTTGCAGTAAGTCTTCTGTCACCTCATCTCATCTAGCCAGCACGTTCCTTTAGTGGTCCTCATCATGAGAACAGTAAAGAACAGAAAACATGAAGAGGTTTGAATCACATTCTTGAAAGGAACATGTGCTTTTTGAACTTTTCTAAATGGATGTATTAGTTCCTGAATATGGTTTCTTCAGACACCAAATCAGAACTGCATCTCCATCCAGCAACAGTGACATGATTTGCACCAGAAAGAACTGTCACTTATAGAACTTGACCGTTAATATTTCTACTAGACTTCTCCACTCTCCTCCCCCACCTCATTAGAAGAAAATAAATTCTAGCAATTTTCCATCATCTAAAGAGTTATTATGGCAGGGAGGCTGGACTAGATGATCTCCAGAGATCCCTTCCAATCCCGTATCATTCTGTGATTCTGTAATTCCGTTATTATAAAGCTCTTATAGTTAAAGTGCAGTTACCAGTCTCAATTTTACAATAGGATTCTCACTATTACTATTTTGTCTATATTCTTTCTAAACTGAGAAAGCTAAATATTAGTCTAGGTTACATTTAGTTACCAACAAGCAAATACTGTATAGATGACAGTCCTACATTTTCTAAAATGAGGCCTGATTCTCTAAACATAGTTCCATGCTCCTTGAATTCCTCTCTTGTATTCCATGGTTTATTCAAATGCAGAGGATTTAATGAAAAAAAGTCTATCTGTAGTCCGGGTAATAATCACGACATGACTGCTAACATATGAAACATTTTCCTTAAAGCAGAGAGGGTAATGGTCGCTAATTGTCATATTCCTTGCTTAGGGATATTATTTCGGTACCTACCAGTGGAGAAAATACTTGATCATAGCCAAATTGAAGTGGTCTGAGCATAGAAATGACACTACTCACTATCCACGTTACACAGCACACAGGTAGAAGTAGTCATAATTTTATTTCGAGGCCTGTGGAGCTACAGGTGAAGAGAGATGGCATGACCAGGATCTTGAACAAGGGTGCACGAGCAGAGCTAATTTTTGCCACATGCTTCCAAAAGTAACTAGAGGTCTGCAGAAATAAGATTAAACTTTTCATGCTGTAGTTCTGTACCTTGTAGCAGTAGACTCCATTGGTACAGATGATGGTTTAAAGACTGAATCTGACCATTGACATTGCTATAAAAGAAGATGCTGTGATTTCATTTGCTCCCTCTCATAGCATGCTAATTGTGGAGGGGCAAAGTCAAATAATCTCAAAAATACTTATGCATTAATTCAAAAAAGAACTAACAAAGAAGAACAGTGATGGGGGATTTGTTGAGAAAGCACGTTGGTTAAAGTAACACACACAAATTCTTCTAAGTTGCGAAAGCTAGAGCACGCCACATCTGTAGGCCAAACTATGTCTCAACCCACAGTTTTCACCAGCTCCACAACTGATGTCTATCCCTGCAATCTGCCTAAGCTTTATTACTTTTGTCTGGTTTTTAATTAGGTTGTGGGATAGCTATTTGCTGAATATTTAAAATCCAATTGAAGTTTCCTTTGCTTTCATGGAAAAATACAATTTGGCTGCAGCATGTGCATGTTTACCATAGCAAGCAAGATCTTTGAAGATCTGGATATATTTTGATGATACCTCACAGAACTACAGAAGAGAAAAACAGAAGGTTGTTCTCAGGATGGAAGGTACCTATACCAGTTAAACAAACTAAGAAAGCACATGACAGTATGCTGTTACCAGTCAAAAATTCTCTCTCACTAGAATGCACTTAATACTTTATTACACGTGCAATATAAGCCATTTTTTTCTGATTAAGGAATCTTTATTCCTAGGTGGACACAGATGTCAAGTATCTCAGTGTAAATATATGGAGTCATCACATAAATATGATGAGGTGATTCAAGTGAAGTAATAATTATTTCAAATTATTGCATATTTTTCCAAATACCTCTAGCCTATTTCCAGAAATAGTATGAATTTCAACAACAGCTTTTAAAATTACCGTTGAATTCTGCAGAAGTTGGAGTACTTCTGAATGTTCTGGGGGTAGTATAGACAGAGAAGGGGGTACTGAAAGTCCCAGGCATATTATCTCAGATCTTCAGTCCTGGAATATCTGGACTACCTTACCCTGTAACCACACACTGAAAAGCTGACAACAGAAATGCTGGAATATAGACTGGAAATGTTATGAACTCACCTCTTCCTCTTTCCACCCCCATTTCCCCAACAGATTTAGGCTAGAAAAAAGCAACAAATATCCACAGTTATCCTTAAATCTGAGTTCATTAGAATAAAAATTATGTATTTGAATGATGAATTCTGCAAAAAGACAGTCTTGTCTTTCTCTGAACCATATACTCGCTTTAAAATTGAGTGTGTGCCTCGAAAGGTGTGGCCAGCGAGCAAACCTAAATCAATATACTACAATTGTTTGTACCTTACTGATCCCTAAGAAAGTAACTCTATAATCCTACACCTCAACAGCTGTGAGCTGTAACTGTGTCATTCAGATTTTCTGCACATAACTTGTCCATGGACAGATCAGCACTTGTTTCCTAACTTTTCATAAAAAGAAAAGCATGTATTGAAAATCTTACAAAAGGGAATCACATAAGACTTTATTTCATAGTGAAAACCAATTTAAAGTAGCACTGTAAGAAGAAGACCAATTTCCAGGCTGGTTAGATCACTGGATCACAACTTCAGTAACTTTGATGTATGGCCTACATGCAGAAATTAACCAGTGTGGCCACCTGATCACACAACAGTTAAAAACAACGCATTGGAAATAAACATGTGTCACAGATACTGATGTTTCTGGCAAAAACATGATTCTAACAGTTCAGTTCTGCATGCTTGATCTTCTGTATCTAATCTTTTTTTATTATTATTTTTTACTGTTTAGAAGTTGTGAGTCATTCTCTAGGACAAAAAAAAAAAAAAAAAAAAAAAAAAAACAACCCAACAATAAGATAAGTATAAGCCAATTTAATATGTCTCCCTGCCAGAACATTTTTTACTTAGCTATGGATACTTTCTGGTTTCTCAAATGAGTCTTCAACTTTGATTTCACACAGATATTGATTTTTCCAAGTTACAAAAACAAGACTGCATCTTTAATCCACAGTTGCACAACTGTGTTACCAGGCTCTGCTCCAGTTAACCAGTTATGAATAAAGTTACAGTTTTTGAACAAGCTTATTTGTCTGTTCTTCAGAGACTTCCTAAACTTCTGTCAGAATTCTGGAAAACAAAGCTGTAGCGGTAAACCAAAAAAACCCAGTTATATCTCGTCTTCACAGACCAGGACTCAGGAGGTAAATGTACCTCCTTGTTTTCAGGATAACCTGCAATACACCTTGTCAAACTTCCCTACATGAAAGTGATCAGAATATCCATGCATTTTGTGCAAATGCAAACAAGACATAACTTGCAGAATTTCTCTTTAAGAGTAATGTACTTTTAAATAAGCTTTTGAACAGCTGATACAAAACAAGTTAATACTCTCAGAAACTGGTTTTGGCTGCAGCATCACAGAGTAATCTAAGAAAAAAACAGAAAAGTGACCTCCAACCTGAGCAACACTCCTGAACCAACCTTTTTCAATTTACTGAGACCTGGGAGGAGAGCTTTACAGGAAAGAGCTTCTAAACACAGACACAAACACAAACAAACTGAGAAACAAGAAAGTGGTTTTTAAGGAGCAGCATCTGCCTCTGAATGACTGCAATATTTCAAGTACTGAGAACTGGTGCTGACATCACTGCATCTTTTTTTTTTTCTTCTTCCTTTTTTTTTTGGCATTTTCTACACAGGAATTTCTGGTTAAAACTATAAAGAGGTGGAAGTGAAAGTGTTACAGAGTTACACCAAAGGGGGGGAGGAGGGTGAAAGAGACGAGGGGTTAAACCCCCACAAAACAAACCAGTAAATGCATCATTCAAATAAAAAGGAGCAACAATTACAGAGAAACTTTAAAGCAACTTACCTCGAGGGAGAGAGATCAAAGAGCTGTTTTCAGTCGGAGCTTGCTCTGGCCCTTCAGGCCCCGGAGGAAGAGGTTCTCTCACTTGGGACATCTGCCAGCTCTCTCGCCGAGTAATAAAGCGCCTGCCCCCCCCCCCTCCCCCCCCCGCCAACAAAAACTAACAGGCGACCCTGGAGGAACAAGCAAATGAAAGGGCTCGTTAATGTATTTTATGCAGAAAACTCACGGCTCGGGGGCGCGGGGCTGAGGAGGGACAGCAACCAAGCGGCGGCAACTTGGCGGCGGGCG